GTTCATGAACCAGGCAAATCACTGAAAGAGCAACTTCAGTTTGTTACCTCTGTAACACTTGCTTTGGTTTCTGTGGCAAAGATACTCAGGAGTTTTGGAGGTCTAATTAGAGGAAAAGAGTAGTTGAAACCTCCGGTTAATGAAAAATAATATATTCTCTGCAGTGCAGTTGGTCATTCACATTTCATTACATGTCTCAGTTTGCGCTTGAGAAAGCTTAAGAGAATCCAAAGCAGCAGACAACTTCCATGCATCATCTCCTGCCAGCTGTACTGTGCTGGAGAGGCAGACTGTGGCTATTGAGTGGCTGTCAAGTTGTGCAATTTATCTGTAGGACAGACACTGAATACACCTCATTGCCAAATGGTAGCTCTGCTTTTTTCTGGCTGCCAGGTTTTGTTGCATTAATGCACCAAGAGGGAAAATTACTTTTGCTCTGTATCTTTACTTTCCTTGAATCTTTCTTCTCCCTGTAAAGTAGGAAGGTTTAAATTGCATGCCTTAGATTTGGAGGAAACGAGGGGGAAGAGAGAAGGGAAGGATTTTCAGTTGAAGCCAAATAATCATGTGAGGATCACAGGGGGAGTTTGACCCTAGAAAATCAGTGTGTTTGCTTTTATAGCAGTTGGTGTCTCCCACTGCTTGGAGGTAGAGAGCAGATCCTGAGGGTGCAGGCCAGTGTGGGGGCTCTGGGGAGCTGTGCTGGGAAAATCATTGTGGATCACCATCACAGATAACGGTGTTTGCTAAACACCTGATTGCCAAGATATGCTTGGTACTGCATTGCCACTGAGGTGAGCAATGTCTGGTCATTCATTGCTCAACCATAAGCAATATTTGGTCATTCTGTCTGATCTTTGGATCTGCTGGCACTGTCAGGTCCTAATTCTATTGTTCAAACATGCAGATGAAGGCAAATTGGGAGGGGACATGACCTAGATTCTACTAGTGGCTGCTGTAAAAATGATTACTATTGCTTTGAGAATGGCTCAAACCATGAATATTTTGTCTGATATCCTGAAAATCCATGGGCTCATCTGAATGCCTTCAAAATCCATACTGACTTGGAAGACCTGCAATACATGAATCCATAGCTTCATCTTCAGCTATCACACCAAAACTGCACCAGCACTTCCAGACACCCAGAACCCAAAAATTGTCAGCCAAACACATATTCCACATGAGTCATATTTTTTTGGAGTAGAATATCTTCTGCCTGAGAGAAGAGCTCTTCAGTCTTTCCCCTTGTAAGAGTGAAAAGGCCAAGAGTTGTTGTGGTATCAAGGCAGTTCAGTTGTAATGTGAGAGGTTCTTTGCTCAGAACCAGCAGAACACCTTACTAAGCTGCAATAATCAGATCTTCACCACTGGTGCTGCTTTCAGGATGTGGCCTGACCTTATGCCTGACTCAGGCTGTGGTAGCAGAGAAATCATCTATGTATTGGCAGTGGTAGCAGAGAAATCATCTTTTCACTTGTAAGATAACCAGCAAGTTTGATGTAAAGAAGAAACTGGGAAAGAATAAAGATGGAAACACACAGTTTTATAAAATATTTCTTCACAGTTTAAATACATCTGGGTTTGGGGACTTGTTATTATAATTAAAACAAACAAGGAAACATAAAAGGCAGAAAACTGTTTGGCTTTCCAATGCATGCTGAGCTGATGGTGGAAAAGGTCCTCAGCCCATAAATCCAGCAGGGAATATAAATGATTGATGGTAAAAGCTTAGATCATCCACTTTAAGTGTGATTGACAGATAATGTTCCTGGCAAACATCTGGAATTCAGCAAGCTGGGAATGAGAAATGCAAAGTACTGACAAACAAACGGCCATCTGCATTTCTCTGGCTTTCTAATCTTTTTTCAAAGGTAAAGTGAAATACCTAAAGCCTGGAGTTATGTATAAAAAGAGGCTTTTGGCTCAGGTTCCTTAAGGCAGCCCTTGGACTTTGCCAAGCACCTTCTGCCTCAGAAGTATCACCATACCCTTCTTGCTTTCCAGCTACAGATGGTTTTGATAAAAGGTTTTGATAAAACACCCACTTAGTCTGCCCCCCTTTTTTTTGATTCCTTTTTCCACAGCGGTTGATCTTACTTTGTGGAGAACATATAGACAAAGGGAGATGGTATGCAATTCCTTATTATGCATAAGAGGCCAATTGTTCTAATGCAGTGCAGGTAATTCTGGGTGGAATTTTTTAATTCCTCCTTGCTGTGTAGATTTCTACTGCTCCTTCCCCCCTCATTTTTCTATAAATGCCAAACAAGGTTTTTTTTAGAATCTGGCAATCAAATTTGATACTTTTGGTACGCATCATTTAGAAAATGGGCTTGACAGAAATAAAGCAATGAGGTGCTTGCATGTTCCTTGCTTTGGAAACTGAAGCACAGTGTAGGATTTGTTTTCAGCTAGATCACTGGCTGTTAACTTCTAGGAAGTTTTTTAATAAAAGAGCACAATTTCTTTTGGTTTTTTAGTTTGTTTCTTAAAAGCAGGGTCTTCTGTGATCTGACTTGAGTTTGTCACTCATGTGTTGGTTTTCTCTGGTTTGGCTCAGCGGGCACCCAGCAGACCCAGCTCCTTCCTGTGCTCCTCTTGCCTCTAATGGGAGGCGGCAGCACACTGCAGGAGGGAGATTTATTCAGAGGGAAGAGTTAGAAATACTGAAGGGAAAACTGTGGTTGCTGCCACAAGTGAGGGATAAAGTTGCGTCTTTCTGTGTTATGGGAAAAGCAGAATTAAATTCCCCAAGAAGAGTAAGACATAACTATCTTCTGTTGTACCTAGTTTCCGAGGTAGGCACAGCAGCACCATGGTGTTTGTGCTTGGATTGCGCTAATTATTCATCACATTACTGTGGGGCAGTAACATAATGGCTGTCACTTTAGGGTAGGGAAACTTGTCTGGAGATGTTAAGCAATGCACTTAGAAATGAGTTAGAATTCCTCTCCCTTGTGCTTGGACTACCAGCTCTAACTGTTGCTCATCAGTGATGGCACAATTCAATGCTTGATAGATTCTAGAGCGTTAATTAAAACAGTTGTTTAGCTAATTGCCTGGAAGATTGTGAATAAAAGCATATTTATTCCAAAGGCAAACAATCCATTTTTACCCAGTGAAGCATATCGGTTTTTATGGGGCGTAAAAATTGTTTCATTTCAGTTTTGAATATATTGTGTGTTTGTCTGAAAGCCTTGTAGATTATCTGTTTCAACTGCATGGAAGCTTTTTTTCGTTAGCCATTTTTAATGTATCTGCTAACAAAAACCATACAAATAATTGAAAATGTGAAAAGTCATTGCTGTTAAAAAGAAAAGGTGTTTACTGTTTTGGTCGGTGGGATTACCACCATGCTTGGTGATATGAGGCTTTTGTACTCTTTCCAGGTGTTGGCATTGTCCTATGCAAGAGACTAGAGGTGAAAGAAAGGTTATCTTTATGGTGCCTTTGCCTAGTTTTGTGAAAAATGTGGTAACAGAACAGGTGGTTTCAGTGTATAGACACATTTAAAATTAAAATAAAGTCCAAAGCGGTCAGGATCTAAACTGATCCATGTGAGGTGGATGGTGTAGGTCTTCTGTGGAAGACTGGGAACACATCAGAGTTAATAACAACTTATTGCAATTTAGGGTAGTTTACCATCAAGCTGATAGCTTTTTCCCTAAGAAAAAATACTTATCATCTAGTGGAAGAGATTAGGTAAGGGTGGAAGTACAGCTGAAGGACTGAGATGTCAATTTTGAGTTTGATTTAGAAGTTTTCTTTCTGAGCTCTTTACTCATGATAGTCCTCTTGACTTCATATAGGCTTTCAAAAATGATGATTTATTTAGGGAGGGAATCTAAAAGAATCTGGGTGAAGTCAGTAAACTAATACATATTTTGAGGCTTTGGATTTAAGAATTGCTATGGACAATGTATTACTTATAAGACAAGGTACCATTCCTATCACAACTTCATAGATATGAGTGTATTTCCATGTCATTGGTCCTTAGAGAGATGGGCAGTGATGATATAGCACAGCAGAAGTTTGGGAGGAAAACTAATTTCAAAACAAGGAAAGTATAGCTTTTCATTATCAAGGGAACAAGTGAATATTCCTTTTTTGTTAGCATTATGTATTGGAAAACAGAGGGGAAAAAGACCATTACTCTTGTAAATAAACTTGTAACTTTCTCCTACACAGTCCATTTGTGCCCAGTCTGAAATGGGGTTCAGCCAGTTAAGTTCTGACAATTTCAGGATCGCTCCTCAGCTGGATTTTGGTGTACATGCCCTGCACTGTAGTGCCCAGACTGGTGCAAATGCCATCCTTGCAGTATCCCACAGTATTCACGGCTGCCCCAAGCTCATACAGACATGCACATGGGAAGGGTGTGAGGAAAGGGCTCTTTTCTTCCTTCCAGTGAGAAACAGCTGAACTTTCATGCCTTGCCATTGTTATCTTGGGGATAACTAATTGTGCTCTTCTTGGTTTGGACTCAGTTTAGCTGCAGCCTGTAGCTACACTGATGTGTGATACAGGATGATTTTATTGACACAACAGTGGGTAAATGTTAGCCAGATTAAGAAAAATCAACAACACAGATGTAAGAAACAGATCATTTGTGTGACAGTTAAAAGGAGGAAGGGAAAAACCATTTCCTCTTAATTAATTTCTTTGAAAGAGATCAGAAGAAAATATGCACCGAGAATAAAGCACTTTTCTTGATTTTAAGAAAAAGACCTTTATTGATATTTAAAGGAGACTTGTCACATAGAACTCTTTTAAAGTATGATTTATTCTTATGAAGTTTTGTAGGCTGTTGTAATTAAGAAAAAGATAATGGAAAAAAGTTATCAGTTAAATATTTCAAAGTTGGTTTTTTCCCCAACAGTTTTTTTTTTCCTGAGTGCAAAAGTAGAAGAAACTTGACTGCATGAATGAGATGTTTGTTCTTTTATAATTTTGATGGAAATAGTGCTGTTAATGAAAGCAATGCTGTTGATTTTCTGTAGGCAAAGGAGACGTTTTTGGTGATGTGTTCTGGAAGGAATCGACTCTCGCCCAGTCCTGTGCTAATGTGAGGGCTTTGACTTACTGTGATCTGCATGTGATTAAAAGAGATGCCTTGCAGAAAGTGCTGGAGTTCTACACTGCCTTTTCACACTCCTTCTCCAGAAATCTCATTTTGACCTACAACTTGAGAAAAAGGGTAAGTAGCTGTGATTTTAACATACATCATGTAAATTATCTCACTTTTAAGGACTGTCTGCATGAAAAAAATGGAATGACTTGAGTTCTGGAATTTCTTGTGCACCCTTTTATAAGATGACTTTTCAAAGCGTGCCTGGGATACCCTGCTGGCATATAGAGTCAAAAGGCTCTGAGTATTTATTCCCGTGCTAGCTTCAGAGGGAGCTAGATTGTGTGTATGTGAAAGTATTATACATTTCCAGGAAGTAAACAGGTTCCAGCATCTATGAAAACTGTCATGCACTTGAGATAAACAGTGTTCACTACATAATGCAACTTCAGTTTGTAAAGCAGCTAAAAATATTTTAGAGGTGTTGCCTGAAATCACAAGGAAAATGACAGGGAAGATATAGAATATAATATATGGAACAAAAGTCAAGTACAGTAGACATGATGGAAAAGTAATATGAACATGACATTCTATCAAGAGTTGTTTCTTTGATTATAAGTCACATTTTGGAATTACTTTGCTTATCTATAATATTTCCATTTTCTTATCCTTGATTTTTTGGCTCTTTTCATTCCTTGTTGTGTGCCGTTTCAAGTTATTTTGTCAAATGCAAGTAATCATAATCTAATAGCCCAGTTTAAATCCTCTGTGTAATCTTCAGTGAACAACCTCTGCAGAAATTTATTAAAACTGTAGTGGGTATAATGCAGATGACAGGATTTTATGATGCAAGGTAGAATACAATAATATTACGTTGAAAAGAAATACATTAGAGAACCTGTACTTGCTTTATAGGGGTATTTGAGATCAGCTAAAGAAATATGTTTGATAGGAAACTTTTTTGTTCCTAAAAATGATTCTCTATGGTAATTTCCAGGTGCCAAGTGAGTCCTAGATAATTAGACCTGAAAAAAGAGAAATCTTTTAATATTTTAAATCTATTTTATAAGATTACACTTTTCACCTAGATATTTTTAAAGGTTTTTTTTAATATATAGAATTGGCATACAGAAAGTAAAGTAGTATGATGGTATTTTTTATCTCCATATGTTATCAGTATAAAAGAGTTCAGCTTTTTAGTGTTGGATGAAAGAAGATTGTGTGATCCACACTTTGGTGAAATAAATCAGAGCTCTGGTAGAAAATTGATGTGATTAAAAACTAAGAAGCAAATTTTTACTTGGGGATTTCCTCCTAAGTAGTTTTTTTTCAAGTGAAGGTACACAGCTGCAAGCATATTAAGAGAGATGTCCTGTTAATAAACAGCTCCTTACTCAGTCTCAGTTAATGTAAGAAATAAAATAAATGAAGGAATTTGACATTGCTGTCACCTCAAGAATCAGTATCATTGACTGATTGACTGACATATTTTATAATTAACTCTGTGGCTAATGTGGTAAGATGCTCTCAGAATATATAATTACTTTTTTCTTTCTCAAAAATCTGTAGAAATAGCAAGCTTTGAGGCTTAGAAGGACCAACTTTTTCAAAACTCATAGTAATGCTAGCAGAATTCAATTATTTTTGACCTGATCTGAGCCAAAAGGCCCAGCTTTAGAATCAAATACCTACTCCAGTTGTGCCACTGTCCCTCCATATTTATTAGCATTGCTTTTCCCAGCCCAGGTTACGAAATATTTTTTAACTGTAGCATCAGTAATTCTGTGCTGTCAATTTTCTATACAAAATGTTCCTAATAAAAATGTACATCTTATGATAGCAATTTCCACCCAGTTATTTAAATAATTGGATTTTAATTGAGTTGCAGTCAGCAGAAAAGTGGCATTGATTGATAATGGAAGTGAGAATTTGATGGTTCTAAGTTAACAGACTGTAACACTATTTTATTAAAAGAAGGCTGATTGCAATCAGAATGCAAATGTTAAATAATGTGAATCATATATGCTCTTGGGAATGCGTGGAAGGTACAATACTTTAGCGATCTGAGGTGATGCACTTTAAACGGCAACTTTTTAGAATTTAGAATTTATTCTGGTTTAAATATCTGTGATTTGGTTTTTTATAGAAATAGCTCCCCAGCCTGTCACTTCTAACACTTCTCTGGTCTGTTTCTGCAAATGGAATTTTGTAGAATTAAGATGAACTGGCACCTTCTGTTGGTTACATTTGTGATGTATTGCATATCCTTTAGAGTATAAATACCAGAATTACACTTTTCATTTCAATAAACAGTTCCATCTCTGGCTCCAAAAGCGTTCAATTAGTTGAAACATAGATACTGTATATTCCTCCCAGATATATTAATACAGATTCCAAATACATGAAAAAGCAGCTTTGGGGATTTTTTTTTTCAGAAAGATCTTATGTTTCCAGACTCAGTTACTCCTGTGAGGTGTCCCCATCTTCAGGGCACATATGCCTGTAGCTGGTTGTGGTACTGAGTGCCACTATGCAGGGCTGGGTGATTTTTTTTGTAGCCTGATTTCACTCAGCTTTATCCCCGGCCAGGGTCTATGTACAAATCACCAATGGATGGGACTGCCAGGAACGTCCCTTGAGCTGCTTTATTTTCCAGCATCAGTCTCATTACAGGGTTATGACAATGGGAAGGTGCCAGCAGCTCACATCACAGGCAGCAGACAAAGTACTTAATGTTACAACTTGCTTTATAAGTTTTTTGACCAATCACACAAAGCAAAAGCATATTGACAGTAGTTCTATCCAACCACTATAAGTTCACGTACCTTTGGTTAAAACAATGCCTGCTTACTTCGAATACAATACCTACTTGTAAGCCTTAAGATACAATGCACAGAGCTCCATTATCAAGTTTAGAGCTTCCTAACATCTTGCTAGATAACTTTTCTGTAACTTAGGGAGTTATTCTAGACAAGTGTTAATATACAGACCATTGCTGTATTTGTCCTTACTTTTCTACTTCTTACATAATTTTTCTGCTGACCTATCTCATGGCTGCTGCTTAGCTCTAATCACAGTTCTACTGTCTCTGGGACCTGCCTTTTGTAGATTTCTCAAGACCCTCTGATTTTATGGATTCCCACAATTCCCCCTCTCAGTTCACCTAAAAAGAAACCTTCGTAACTGTTTCATTTATTGCTACTTTGCATTTTGTAGCTTTATTATAGTATATCTGCTTATTACTTTCTTAAAGCATCTTTTTGCTCCACTAAGCATTGCTGTATCACAACACAGCAATTTTAATGCTGTGGAAGTCCAGTCAGTTCAAAGGGCATAAATTATGTCTAATAACAATTACAAGTCATTGTTTGAAAAAGTCTCGTTGATTCCAAGGCCTTAATTCAAAACCTTCCTCCATGTCTACACCTTCATCCACCATCTCTGTGAGATTTTGAAAGCTCTCTGTGAATCCATTTCTTACGTCTCTCTCCTGTGTGATAAAAACTTTGATAGTTTTGTCCATCATTATTACAGCGACCTGAGTGGATCGATGGGGTGGTGAAAGAAAGACGAGAATCTTGTTTCTTGATCAGAAGGCTGGATTTATTGATATATGATATATAATACATTATAACTATACTAATAGGAATAAAGAGAGAAGTTGCAGAGCTTGCTAAGCTAAGAATAGAAAGAAAGAATCTATCACAAAGTTGTGTCCAGGGACTCTGTCCCCAGCTTGCTCCTGTGATTGGCCCTTAATTATAAACATGTGAACATGAACTAATCACAGGTGCATCCTATTGCATTTCACAGCAGCTGATAACAAGTGTTTACATTCTCTTCTGGGGCCCTCAGCTTCCCAGAAAATGCAGAAATCTGAAAGAAAGGATTTCTACGAAAAAATGTCTGCGACACATCATTTGTCACACACACCGAAGTATGCACAGTATTACTACTAATATAACTACCAAAACACCCAACACATATGAACCTATCTTACAAAGTTCTCTCAGCCAAGGTGCAAAGCTCCATTCTTGGAACAAATCATCTAACCAGGATCCACAATCATCTTTAATTGGAGCTGTCAAATCTTTCAGCTTTTGTATGCTTTTGTGGATGGATTCAGAATGATCAGGTTCATACAACACAATCCTTCAAATTCCTTACAACCATGTCCATGTGCCAATAAAAGAAAATCAATTGCTGCTCTATTTTGAAGGGTAGCATGTGTAACACTATTAACATCTGTCAACATATCACTGATTGCAGTGGATATGGCATTGGCTTGTTTACGAACATCCAATCCGATCTAATTGTTTCAATACCATTGCTGAAGCCAGTTGGGGTAAAAACAAACCTGCTGAAACTCCTTTCGCAGCATTTCTGCTGATGGCTGTGACAGAAATAAGCAAACATGGAGGTACATTGGAAGGCACCCAGACTGCTCAGTTGGTCTTTACCTTAGCTGAACCTAGAGCTGGATTTAGGCAAAGTAAAAGGCAACGCGCCTTGTGCTGTTCTTCATACTTGTCTTGAATGTGGTTTGAGCTGGGCTGGGAGGGCAGGACACCTCTGGTCTGTGTATCCCCTTTATGCCTTCCATAGAACAGGCCTGCAGGTGTAAAAGGTTACTGCCTGTGATACTTAAAGACTTTGTGGCCAAGGGAGAAGTTTCCATTGCTCTGTGCTTGGCATGTCATTATTGTCCCTGTCTGTGCTGTGAAAGCAGTTTCCTTTCACTCACTTTCTCAACAAATGCCAGCGAAATATCCTCTTTTCTGAAAGTGTCAGCTTGCTGTCAGGTGACTCCCTGAGCAGTTTCCTCAAGTGACTAAAATCCCTCCTGAAGTTATTAGTTGTCTAGTTACCTCAGAGTGGAACTCAGACTTAGAAAACTTTTTATTTTTCCTAAAGGAAAAGAGAAAGCAGACCTTTAATTAACTCCTTCTGCTGCCAGTCACTGAAATGTTCATCTAAGTGGGAACAGGGGGATTATCATCTGCTGCATCTCTCTTTCCACCCTCCTAAGAAACTGAAACTGCAGTCTGTGTCTGCAGGTGCTGTGTGTTGGATTTGAAGACTTAGCAGCTGAAAGGAAACTGAGAGAGATTTTTCAGAGCAATACTTGC